AGCTGCCTCATGAATCCATTTAACCATTTATACTGCACACATCTATTACTCTACATACAAACGTGTCACCTGATTTCTTGTTACCAAGTTAATGCTTTTTGAGGGCGTTATCTTAAAAGATGCAGAGGACGGTACCTTGGTTGTCAGTAGCTCTTTATTTACCAAGAGTCCATCTGCTACAATCACAGTTTACTTTCCATCAGTGGAAGTTTCAGCCTATGCAATACATGCTGCCGATAACAGTCTACATCTCAGCAAAGCGTGATAATACCACCTCCAAGCTAGAACTTGTGCAGCGACATAGCAATCACACAACCAACAAAACAACAAGTTGCATTTATATAGTGCCCTTCACGCGCGCTAGCATCTTGAAGCTCGAAATAGTGGTGGAGTTTGACCACTAGCTGGGGGAGATGACTGTAGGCATGGTCAAAGAGGAAGGTTTTCAGGTTTATCTGAAGATGGTGGTGGAGGAGGCAATATGGAGGGATTCTTTTAACTAATGGAGAGAGTTCCATAGTTTCAGGCGCAGCGGCTGAAAGTACAGCCGTCGATGGAGGGGAAGAGAAAAAGGGCATGCGGGGGGCCAGAGTCAGCGGGTAGTGGAGGGGAGTAAGTGGGTTGGAGAGGTTGGGAGGTGAACAAAAGCACAACTTCGAGGGAAATGTCACTGTTTCAACAACAACGGACTGACAATACTTTCACTTTATCCTGCTCAATGTGCACTCCCCCACCCCCAAAGATGGAAGATAAAAATATTCCATCACTCAGAGGTAGGGAAGCAAAAATAAACTGCCTGAGCTTATTATATATTCCTTTAGCAAAGATAATAATTTAGATATGCTCTGAAGATAGGATTATTAAAAAAGTTAAATATTCAGAAATTCACTGATATATTTCACCATCAAGCAGATGGCTCCAGTGACAATCCCAGGGGCTTAAAAGATCTACTTTAAACACTGAACTTGTGTGAGAGGTTTATTTTCTCCTTATGAGAAAAGGAGGATGCATTTCAGCTAAGTGAGACACTTAAATGAATCTGAAGTTGAAGGGTTTATTAGGCATATAGGGAAAAAGGATCAAAAACTGATTTTAGTCCAATAAACCTTTCTCCTTTCCAACTCGTTTCTAAACAGTGGTGCATTTAATCTGGTTAAATCTTCCTAAATTAAGATCTTATCGATCTCCCCTTCCCAACAACACCCCTGTGAGCAGTCTAATTCATTCACTGGGAAACACCATTAAGTACTGTGAAGCTAATTACGAGGACTGTTAAGCACTGGCCTGAGGACATTCCTTGCTAATTTGTTTTTGAAATAATTTGGATTGGCAGGGCGTCTCATAGGTGTTTTTATGTAAAAACATGCATTGAAAGAAATCAACAATTCTGGCAGTTTGAAACAGATCACCTGCGCCTAACCTCTGCCTACCTCTGTAACTCACATTTCAAACAACAGCTACTGTCTGGAAACTTCACCCACGCCGCCTTTGAAATTACATTTCACACAGTGCAATCAGCATTTTCCTCCTCTCAAACACATGGATTCATGCTGGGATGTAGCTCCACAATGCCTCCCTCTCTCTGGCACCTCATCCAAGTGGCTATTCTTCATATGTGACTTTAGACCAAGAGTATTAACAACATCACAGACAAGCCTGATCCTGTCCTCAACTAAACAACTTACACACTTTCCAGCAGGGGTCACTGAATAACAATCAAAAGTGGAAACTGACAAAGATTTTACCTTCAGCTCAGAGGAGCTGCGGCCAACCTTAACCCCCAAATCTTGCCCCATGAATGAGCACAAACTAGGGAGCAAACCTGGAACATTAGGTTCTTAATCAGCTTTGCATTAGTGACTATATCAAATGCAAGGATTATTATTACTACAGCATTCTTATTTCCTCTGTTAGATAGCAATCATTACCATGATATCAGAGGACATGCATCATTCAGAGGAGTCATTTCTACAAGGAAGATCTTACAATAACCAAATTGTCTAGATAATATTTTACCCCTATGACAGTATATTTATCTATACATTATACAGAGAAGCTCACTGTATTACACAATACATCCCGGTATGTTTTACCCAGAAGCACGGCATTCCCAGCTCGTCATGAATGTCTGCACAGAAAGACCCACAGGATTGCATTTTAGGAACTGATTTCAGACATGAATTTCCTTTCATTACAGCAAGCTTGAGTTCTTGTTGATTGCAACCTCATCACACATTTCACTGCTTATAAAACTATAAATATTTAGTTCATACATCATGTGGCTGAACTTTTTAATCACCAGGTACAAAAAATGAAACAAATGTTTTAATACCGAACACGAATAATAGCTGTTGTAGGCAGAACAGGAACAAGTAATTTAACCTGTCCTCCTTTGCTCTCAGACAAGCCTTTGCTCAACTCAGAACTCTAATCAAAACTACTCACCATTAGCCCCTACCTCACATTTTACCTTAAGCACCACTAATCTTTAATCGCTCACATTCAGAATCATTAGCTAGAATCACCTAGAATTATTAGCTCTTTAAAACTGGCTGCCACTATTTTAGTGGGAATGATCTTTATGAAAGCAGTAGTTTTCAGAATGCTGCTCTATTATTACAATGCTTAAATAGACATTTTCAGGACATCTCCTGCAGTTAGGTGGACTTTGTGTTTCAGTCAACAGGTAACAGTAGATTACTCAAACTTATTACCTTTAAAAATTTAGCCTCCCCACTATTCACCCTGTGTAACACCACCAACAACAAAATTACATTTGTACAGCACCTTTCACGTCGGGAGGATATCCCAAGGCGCTGGACAGTCAGTGTTTCGGACCTGAACTGGGGATATGGATTGGGGAGTGTGGAGGGCGGGAGGAAGCAGGGTGATCAAAAGAACGGTTGAAGTGGAAGGTTTTGAGATTTTGAGATGGGTTTTGAAGAAGGCGAGGGAGGAGGTGAGGCAGAGGGACTGTGGGATGGAGTTCCAGAGAGTGGAGGCAGAGTGGTAGAAGGCCAGCCCGCCAATGGTGGGGCAGGCGAGGTGGGGGGATGTGAAGCAGGCCGGAGCCCGTTGTGTGGAGGGAGTGGGCAGGATGGTAGGGGTTTAGGAGGTGACAGAGGTAGGGGGGAGCAAGACTATGGAAGGCTTTGAAGGTGAGGACCAGGATCTTGAACTGTATCCTCTGTGTGATGGGAAGCCAGTGGAGTCGGGCAAGGATGGGGGTAATAGGGTCATAGAGTCTGGTGCTGGAGAGGACATGGGCTGCAGAGTTCTGGATGATCTAGAGCCTATGGAGGGAGGAGTTGGCGAGGCCGAACAAGCAAGGAGTTTGCATAGTCACGGCTAGATGTTATGAATGCGTGTAAAGAGGATAACCAGCATGCTTTGGCAGATTTGGGGGATTACATCTTCCCAGAAACACAGCAAGAAAGACAAAGAGACAACATGCCCCAAAACCTAACATATACCAATCCCTGACCGAATTGGGACTGAAAAGCAAGTATGTTAAGACTTTACTGATTGCGGGGGTAACCCAGGCCACGATATTCCCAGCCAGAGAGGTACCACAGCAAATCCCAGCTATCCAAGGACGTGTGGGTACCACTGGAGAAAGCATTTCTCCATTCTTAATCCAATCTGAATGTTTGCTAGAGTTCTGGTCTTTCAATGCCAAGCCGTGCTAAGGTCTTAAAACTGCAACATGTCTCTTTCTTCCCTACTGGACACTCAATTCACAAAATCACTGTCTTCCCACTTCCTTCGCCCCCATTTTTAATTTGCTACATCACCTTATCACAATGAAACCTCTTGAAGTGCTTCACAAGAAACTGCTGTCAAGTAGCAACTGGTTGTTTGTAACAAACACTACCAGCCATTTTGCACACATGACCAATTTGGCTGGAAGACTTGACCAGGACACTGGGGAAACTCTTTTCACTTTTTTGAATAGTGTCATGGGACCATTAACATCCACCAGAAAAAAAACAAGCAGAACAATGCAATGCTCTCCCAGTACTGCACTAGCTTGTCAGCTTAGACTTTGAGCTCCATCAGTTCAGAGTCCATCCCAGCTCCACCCCCATATAAAATGTTTACCCAAGATTGCTACCAGGAAGTGCCTCACTTTTCCTAAATTCACAACTTTTTCAACATCCTGTTTTTTTTAAACAGTGTAGAACAAAATGTTGTTGAGTATTTATCCAAGTCCTTTTTAAATTTGGTGATGAACTCACTTCCAAAAGTCTTTTGTGGTGGGGAAATCCACATCTTTGGAAATTCTGTGCATGTAAAAAATGCTTGAAACTTCCCCCTTTATTCTGTCTAGTTATAATTCTCCTGTTCTGCCTGCGTTACTTATCAGCATAAATAACTGAACTATCAAACTAGTCATCGTTTGAAGCATCATTCAGAGATCTGTATTCTTCTCCAAGGCTAGTCTTTTGTCCCACGAAATATAGCCTCCAACACAGCAATAATAAGCTCTTGGGAGTCCTGCAGCTCAGGTGGAGTCCTGTAGCTCAGTGGTTAGAGCACTCGCCTCGCAAGCGAGAGACCTGGGTTTGATTCCCAGCAAGGTAAAACCCTGGGCAAGTTTCCTTACTGCAGACGCCTGATAATAATCCTCAAAAAAAAGAACAATAAGAAACTGGTCACTTCAATCCACAACTGTTTGTGGGGCACTACTGTGCACAATTGGCTGCCGTGTTTTGCCCACAAATATACAGTCAATTCACTTTACAGTATATTCTGTGAAGCGCTTTGAGACGTGAAAAGACATGAAAAGCTCTATATCAAATGCAAGGATTATTATTTTATTATTATTTATCTACAGGGGTACTGCTAGAAGCCAGAGAAGTGATCCTATGTGGTGGGCAACCACAAAATGAGGGATTTCAACATAGCCATCACTATCTATACAATGCAGGCTCTCCAACACCCTGCAATATAAATGCAAATAGGAGATGCAAGCCTGTTTCCTATACATGCTCACTCACCTTCTTAACCAGGTTTGTCGTACACACACCTTGCCTCAGCCTGCAAACCATTTCCAATTGTATTCCTCTCCAAGGCTAGGTTTTTGTCCTGCGAGACATAGTCTCCAAAACAGCAATGATAAGCTCTTGGAATATCTATAAGCATCCACATATGTGCATCTCTCACAAGGATTTGCTACAATCCTTTCTTTTGACTTGTCCACACACTTGGCTATTCACAGACTCTGTATTCCACTCATTCCCTCATTCCTGACTCATCCCTCACCTCTTCTCAGCTCCCGGCATCAAAACAACTCCTGCTTCTCTTTCTTTGCTCCAGACTTTGTTTGTTCTCTAATCGCTAATCTGGTACAATTTTCCTCTTCTACTTTGCTTTCCTCCCTCTTCATTTTCTTTCCCTTATTTTTCCAAATCTCCCTTTTTCTCCCACTCTTCTTACTCTCCGATTCACACACAGTATATTTCCAGCAATTTCTTCTGTCTTCATTCCCCGGCTACCTCAGCACACCCCTACACTCATCTCCCTCTCAGCTAATCTTTCCTGCTTACACAGCATGCCCCTTAACCCATCTTCTTCTCTGCTTACAGGATGTCCCCATATCCCTCTATTACTTTACCTTTTTAAACAGGATGCCCTTATACCCATCTCCCTCTCTATTGCTCTTTCATGTTCACACAAGATTCCCTTACAGCCATTTCCCTCGGTCACTCTCCACTGCTTATACAGAATGCCCCTCACACTCTTCTCCTTTTACTCTTTCCTTTTACACAAGATGCCCCTTCACCCATCTCCCTTCCGGTTATTCTCCCACTTAACACACAATGCCTCAACACCCATTTCCTTGTCAGTTACTCTTACAAAGGACGCACCAACAACCATCTGCCTTTCAGTCATCATTCCTGCTTAAACAGGATGCCCGACATTCTTCTCCCTCTCTGTTACTCTTTCCTGTTCACACAGGATTCCCCTACTGCCATTTCTCTCTGTTATTCTCTCCTGCTTTCACATAATTTACCTGCATCCATCTCCCTCTAGCTTATTCTTTCTGCTTACGCAGGACACTGCTACGCCTATCTCCCTCTCTGTAACTCTCACTTCTTACACAGGATGCCCCTATACTTATCTCCCCTCCTGACACAGGAAGTTCCTTAACTCATCTCCATGGCTTACAGTGGATGCCCATGCACCCATCTCCCTCTCGGTTACTCTCCCCAACTAACACAGGATGCCCCTACAGTCATCTCCCTCTCAGGTACTCTTTCTTGATTACACAGGATGATCCTCTACCCATTCTCTCTCAATTACCCTTTCCTGCTTACACAGGATGCCCAATACCTCTGAGTAACTCTTAGTTACTCTTGTCAATTTACGCAGGATTTCCCTACACCCATTTCTCTCCGTTACTCTTACCTGTTTACACAGGATGCCCCTACACCCATCAACCTTCCACTCTTTCCTGCTTGCACATGATGACCTTCTACTCACCTCCCTCCCTCTGAGTTACTCTGATTGAACAGAATTCCACCACCAATTTCCCTCTCAATTACTCTCCGCTCCTTGCAGAGGATGCCCCTATCGGTTACTTCTCCCACTCAGTTACTTTTTCCTAACACACAATGCACCTACACTATCTCTCTCTCTCTATTAGTTTTCCCTACATAGGATGTCCCTTCATCGACTTCCCACTCAGTTACTCTTTTCTACTTTACACACAGAGCTCCTAAATCCATCTCCCTCTGCATTACTGCCTTACACAGGATACCCCCTCCTTACAAAGGATGCCCGTAAACCCATCTCCCTCAGTTACTCATTCAGACTGGCTGCCCCTATAACCATCTCACTCAGTTATTCTCCCCTCCTTGCACCAGATGCCCTACACTTCTTTTCAGTCACTCTCCCTAATTACACAAGATGCGCTTGCAACCACCTGTCTCTCGGTTACTCTTTTCTGCTTACACCCATTTCCCTCTCAATTACTCCTTCCTGCTTCACAAGATGCCCGTACATTCGTTTCCCTCTCAATTACTGTTTAAATTCACACAGGATGCTTTTATCTATCTACCTTTCAGTTTTCTTTCCTACTTGTATACAATGCCGCTACACTCATCTACCTCGGAATTACTCTCTCCCTTACATAGGATCCCCTTATACTGTTTTCCCTCTAAGATACTTTCCCCTGCTTATACAGGATGCTGCTGCACCTATCTCCCTCTCAATTGCTCTCTGCTACTTACATTGCACGTCCCTACATCTTGTCTCCCTCTCAGTTTACTCTTTCCTGTTTGTACAGGATGTCCTTACACCCATCTCCCTCTCAATTTCTCTCCCTGAATTACACAGAATGCCCTGACACCATCCACCTCTCATTTCCCTCCATCAAGTCACCCTTAACACCGGATGCCCTACCTCCCTTTCAGTTACTCTCCCCTACTTATACCTTTAACCTTCTCAGCCCGAGCGGAGAGAATCCTAAATTCTCAAGTTTCCCCTCACCCCTCCTCTCACTTGTCCCTAGAAACACCTTTTATATCCTTCCTATTATGGGGTACCAAAACTTATACACAATAATTTATCCGTAGCTGAACCAAGGACTTATAATTCCACGCCTTTTCCCATAACCATATACACCCACACTTGCACAAGATTCCTTAGGGAACTAAGCCTTTGCATATCAAGTTCTCTCCACTCTATTCACCATTCTAACTACCAAAATTTACTGCTTTACATTTTTCAGAATTTACGTGCACTTGCCAAGTGTCTATCTATCCCACTTATTCACCCCATTATTTTCATATTTCCATCTCACCCACGACTCACTCAACCACCTCCCACCTGCATCCATTGGCAGGTACTGTACTTATTTGTTCCTCTCTGGTCTCCATGCATTACACTCCCCCCCTTCCACCTCTCCTTTTGCTCAATCTTTATCTCCCAATCTTCCTTCCCACTCGTCTCCATGCCACCCCTCTCAAACCATCTCCATTCCTTACCCTCTCTCTATCTCTTACCATCTCCATACCCTCTCTTGTCCTATCCCTCTTTTCTTTATCCTTCTCCCTGTTGCCTAATTTTCTCCTATCTCCCTCCCCCCCTTTATCTTCAGTTGCACATATTCCCATCCTTCGCTCTCTCTCCTGGAACTGTATCCTTATCACATCTTCATCAAACTCTACTTCAGTCTCTCTCTCTCCCTCTGCTCTCCTCAGCACATTCCCTCTCTTGCTGAATCTATCCCCGTATTCCTTTCTCCTCAATACTTGGGACACGGTCACATCCTCTGCTCTCTCTGTTGCTCTCACCCTCTCTTCTCTGTCCATCTCTCTCCCCTCAATAACTTCAGTCTCCCTCACTTCCTCTCCATTCCCCCACCCCCTACATCCTCTCATTTGCCTCCGACTCTCCCCTCGTTCCCCCATTCCCTCATTTACCTCTCGCTCTCTCTCCCCCTTGTTCCCTCCTCACTATTCCCCTCTTCCTCCCCCCCATTCACTCTCTCCCCCCCACCTCATTCACTCTCTCCCCCTTATTCCCTCCTCACTATTCCCCCCCATTACTCTCTCTCCCTTATTCCCTCACTATTCCCCTCTCCCCCATTACTCTCCCTTATTCCCTCCTCACTATTCCCCTCTCCCTCTCTCCCCCCTATTCCCTCATTATTCCCCTCTCCCCCTTATTCCCTCCTCACTATTCTCCTCTCCCATTACTCTCTCCCCCTTATTCCCTCCTCACTATTCCCTTCTCCCTCCATTACTCTCCCCCCTATTCCCTCCTCACTATTCCCCTCTCTCCCCCTTATTCCCTCCTCACTATTCCCCTCTCTCCCCCTTATTCCCTCCTCACTATTCCCCTCTCCCCCCATTACTCTCTCCCCTATTCCCTCCTCACTATTCCCCTCTCCCATTACTCTCTCCCACTATTCCCTCACTATTCCCCTCTCCCTCTCCCCCTATTCCCCTCTCCCCCCTATTCCCTCCTCACTATCCCCCTCTCCCCCCTCACTATCCCCTCTCCCCCCCATTCCCCCCTCACCCATTACTCTCTCCCCCTATTCCCTCACTATCCCCCTCTCCCCCCTATTCCCTCACTATCCCCTCTCCCCCCCTCACTATCCCCCTCTCCCCCTATTCCCTCCTCACTATCCCCCTCTCCCCCCATTCCGCCCTCACTATCCCCCTCTCCCCCTCTCACTATCCCCCTCTCCCCCCTATTCCCTCCTCACTATCCCCTCTCCCCCCATTCCCCCCTCACTATCCCCCCCCCCCCCCCCCCCCCGCTCCCAGGCAGCATCACAAACATGGCGGGGGGCGACGTGCAGTCCGTGTGATATGCGGGAAGGTCCATCGCCAACTTCCACCCCCCCACCCCCGGACCCCCGCCGCCCAGCACCGGACCGGCCGAGTGACCCCCCTCGTGGTGGGTGAGGGAGCGGGGTCGAGAGGCCGGGGAGGGGGGGAGAGGGGGGACGGGGGGTGAAGAGAAGGAACGGGGCCGCCCGCCCGCCCGGCACCAACCGCCACCGCTCGCGGCCCGTCAATCACCCGCAGCGCAGCGCAGCGCGTGCCCTCCATCCCACTGTTTATCTCTCGCTCTCTCTCTCTCTCTCTATATATATATATCTACACACACACACACATATATATAATATACACCAAAAAAAAAACACCGGTCTGGTTCGCTGCAATGCAAGAAGGTCCCTTAAACGCGTCCCACGAACGGCCCCCGGTGCAAAGGCAGGTTGTTTTGCAAAAAAAAAAGAAAAAAAAAGGAAGAAAAAGCAAACTGATGCGGGACTGCGGGTGTCGGGTGGGCTCGGGCCTCGGGGGGGCTCGGGGGGGGTCGGGTGGGCTCGGGGGGGGTCGGGTGGGCTCGGGGGCGGTCGGGTGGGCTCGGGGGGGTCGGGTGGGCTCGGGGGGGTCGGGGGGGCTCGGGTGGGGTCGGGGGGTCGGGTGGGGTCGGGGGGGCTCGGGGCTCGGGGGGGGTCGGGTGGGCTCGGGGGGGTCGGGTGAGCTCGGGGGGGCTCGGGGTCGGGTGGGCTCGGGCAGCTCGGGGGGCTCGGGCTCGGGGTCGGGTGGGCTCGGGGGGGCTCGGGCTCGGGGGGGCTCGGGGAGCTCGCGGGCTCCGCGCGGCCGGAGGGTCCCCGGGGCGGCTGATTGACAGGCGGCCTCTGACAGTGACACTGACCTGCGGCGCGCGCCCGCCCGGCGGCGGCGGCGGCGGCGGCGGCAGCAAAAAAAAAACGCCGAGGTTGCAAACAAGTCAGAAACCTGCAACTTTTTTTTCCCCGTTCCTCTCTCTCTTCCTCTCTCTCTCTCTTTTTTTTCAGCGTTGCTCCTGCTCGCCTGGCGCCATGTTTCTTCTTTTTTTTTTGGTGCGTGTGTGTGTGTGTACGCGCGTGTGTGTGTGCGTGTGTGTGTGTGTGCGCACATACATGCATGCACACACAACACGCGTGCATGCGTGCATGCATACACAGAGAGGGAGGGAGGGAGGGAGGGGGGGGAGAAGGGGGTGGAGGGAAGTGAGAATGTGGGTGTGGGTGATATTACCGTTTACAAAAAAAATTTTTTAATTTGCATAACAAAAGTAAAAGTAACGGTTGCCATATGGGCTGCATGAGAGGGGGGGGGGGTGGGGGGGGGTAATGGATAAATAATGAGGGAGGCGGATAATGCTGTGCATTGGAGGAGAGGGAGTGTGATGGGTGGATGGATGGAGAGGTAGATTTGGATTGGAGGACGGATAGAAAGATGGATGGATTGGATGGATGGATGGATGGGGGAAAAAGTAGGTGTGAAGGAAGAACACCCCACACACCCCCCCCCCCACACACACACACACACATGCAAAAGCGTGGGGATTTACCCCCAGCAAAAAAAAAGGGTGGTGGAGTGGGGTGGTGGAGGAGGAGAAGGAGGGAAAGGAACCCAATTTTTTCCCTGTGTACGATAATCAAATTCAACCTGCAATAAAAATAAAAGGTGCGACGAAAACCTCTCGAAAATGCAACGCGCAGAGAGAGAGAGAGAGAAAGAGAGAAATTTTTGCAAAAAAAAAAGCACAACAACAACAACACATGCCCCAGGAAAAAAAAACGCACACACACACACACGCACGACTTTTACCACCTGACTGACACGCAACCTGCAACGCAAAACTGTGGAAAAACGTGCAAAAGGGAGAGAGAGAGAGAGAGAGACCAACGTGGGAAGAGGACACGCAACATCTTAACCCGCAACGTTTATCATCACATCTCTCTCTCTCTCTCTCCCCCCTCTTCCCCTCCTCTCCCCACTAACCTGAATCATAATAATCGGATCAGGTCAAATCAAATCGACATGTAGTATCGTGGGGAGGGGGGTGTGGGGGGGAGGGGGGGGGGAGGGAGGGGGGTGTGGGGGGGGGGGAGGGGGAAGGGGGGGGAGGAAAAAGAAGAGAGGAAAAAAAAGAAACGATCTATGTTTTTTTTAAATGGATCAAGAGAAAGATAGAAGAGAGTGGGGGGGGGGAGGGAGGAAGAGGAAGGAGTGGGGGAGGGAGAGAGTGTGGGGGAGAGAGAGTGGGGGGGGAGAGAGTGGGGGGGGAGAGAGTGGGGGGGAGAGGGAGTGGGGGCGAGGAAGAGGAAGGAGTGGGGGGGAGAGAGTGGGGGGAGAGAGAGTGGGGGGGGAAGAGAGTGGGGGGGGAGAGAGTGGGGGGAGGGAGAGAGTGGGGGGGGGAGAGAGTGGGAGGGGGAGAGAGTGGGGGGGGAGAGAGTGAGCGGGGAGAGAGTGGGGGGGGAGAGAGTGAGGGGGAGAGAGTGGGGGGGGAGAGAGTGGGGGGGGAGAGTGGGGGGGAGAGAGTGGGGGGGGGAGAGAGTGGGGGGGGAGAGAGTGGGGGGGGGAGAGTGGGGGGGGGGGAGAGTGGGGGGGGGGAGAGTGGGGGGGGGGGAGAGTGGGGGGGGGGAGAGGGGGGAGAGTGGGGGGGGGGGGAGAGTGGGGTGGGGGGAGAGTGGGGGGGGGGAGAGAGTGGGGGGAGAGAGTGGGGTGGGGGGAGAGAGAGTGGGGGGAGAGAGTGGGGGGGGAGAGTGGGGGGGAGAGAGTGGGGGGGGAAGAGAGTGGGGGGGAAGAGAGTGGGGGGGAAGAGAGTGGGGGGGGAGGAGAGTGGGGGGGGAAGAGAGTGGGGGGGAAGAGAGTGGGGGGGGGAGGAGAGTGGGGGGGGGGAGAGTGGGGGGGGGAGAGTGGGGGGGGAGAGAGTGGGGGGGGAGAGTGGGGGGGGGGGAGGTGGGGGGGGGGGGAGAGTGGGGGGGGGGAGAGTGGGGGGGGGAGAGAGTGGGGGGGGAGAGTGGGGGGGGGGAGAGTGGGGGGGGAGAGTGGGGGGGGGAGAGTGGGGGGGGAGAGTGGGGGGGGGGAGAGTGGGGGGGGGAGAGTGGGGGGGGGGAGAGGTCGGATTTGCACAAACGCAATCAGCTTTTCGCATCTCGCGCAAAAACTCACTCACTCTCACTCACATTCTCACTCTAACTCACTCACACACACACTCTCTCTCACTCTCACTCTCTCATACTCACTCTCACACAAGTCAAGAATTTGTTGTTCTCGAAACTGAATGGAAGATGGGAAGAGTTTGGATGTGGAAGTCGGGCCTTCCTCCCTCCCTGTCTGTCTGTCTGTCTGTCTGTCTGTCTGCTCGGATGGTGTGTGTGTGTGTGTGTGCAAAATATATCTTAATGAGTCAGAAAGAGTGAGGGGTTCTCTTCTTCCCCCCTCCCCCTGTCTGTCTCTCTCTCTGTCTCTCTCTCTCTGTCTGTCTGTCTCTCCCTCTCTCTGTCTCTCTCCCTCTCTCTGTCTGTCTGTCTCTCCCTCTCTCTGTCTGTCTGTCTCTCCCTCTCTCTGTCTGTCTCTCCCTCTCTCTGTCTGTCTGTCTCTCCCTCTCTCTCTCTGTCTGTCTCTCTGTCTATCTCTCCCTCTCTCTCTGTCTATCTCTCCCTATGTCTGCCTCTCCCTCTCTCTGTCTGCCTCTCCCTCTCTCTGTCTGCCTCTCCCTCTCTCTGTCTGCCTCTCCCTCTCCCTCTCTCCCTCTCCCTCTCTCTGTCTGCCTCTCCCTCTCCCTCTCTCCCTCTCTCTCCCTGTCTGTCTCACTCAGCTCTTTAGAAAGTGCTGTAAACTACTGTACCTTGTGCAGAAGTTCTGGGAGTCTCATGGCTTTTGCAAGTCATTTCACCCTCCACGATGTCTCCAATATTTTCCAAGTGCCCCTCTCTTCCCCCTATCCCCCCCCCCTTTTTTTTCCCCCCTCTTTCCCCCACCCCCCTCCTCTTCCTATCTGCCTCCCCCCTCCTCCTCCTCCTCC